CCTACAATGATTTTCTCAAATGCTTTCCTTAACTTGCAACCCGAGTTACTAAGCACTCCACACAAAGTAATTTTATTCTCTATTAGTTTGATAAAACTCTCAAAGTCCTGCTCGAAAAGGACCCAAAGCTTTCCTTCACAATATTCTTTTACAAAAATGGGTAGTAGTACATCTGTAACCGAGCTCACAGAAGGGTCAATCGGTCCATCATCACTTGTATCATCACTAGCATCAATAATTACTGGTGTTAAGGGAGCCTCATCTTATTATTTTTCATCAACCATCATGAAAGGTACATGAATAAAACAACCTTGACATTGTTATTCTGAAATCTCATCTTGCTCTTAATGTGATAGATTCTGTGTATTCGGAGATGCTCAACTCCAGGTGGTGGCGATATAACGCATAGAACTAGATCTTTGGATTCATGCAAAAAGACTTGAGTAGCTTGCTCAATTGAATTAGTGCATTCACTCATCACATTATTCATTGGGGAACAACCATAACTTGATTCTGTTGAATTTGAGTGTCTTGTTTTGACATATCCTCATGTCTTAAAGGGCTATCATCTATTTTGAATTCTCATCTTCATTAGAGAAGTTGCTAGAAGAATCACGTTGTCAATAGTCTTTGATAATATCAAGGCTTCAGGTGCCTAACAAAATTCTTATAAGTATGCATCTAAAGAAAAACTAGTATTATGTATGAAGAACCAAAGGAAAAGTGGGATAAGAGGATAGGATGTTGATACCCTAAAGATACAGATATCACCACCTTAGAATAAGTAATAGATAACAGGGCTAGCCGACTGATCTAGAGATATAGATATCACCACTCTAGATAGAAATGGTGAATCACCACTCTAGGGACCCAGCCTTAGAGATATAGTTCACCACTTCAAGAATAAAGGAGGCTCCACCACCCTACAGATATAGAACAAAAGGAAATTTCACCACTCAAAGGAACACTAGTAGAAAATCACGTATTCTGGACGGAATATTCTAGACGGAATTTTTTCCGTCTAGAATGTATTAACACTAGTAGAAAATCACGTATTCTGGACGGAATATTCTAGACGGAATTTTTTCCGTCTAGAATGTATTAAACTAGACGGAAATTTTCCGTCTAGAATAAAGCATTCTAGACGGAAATTTCCGTCTAGAATAGTATCCTAGACGAAAATTTCCGTCTAGAATAGTATCCTAGACGGTTTCTTTATTTTTTATTTTTTTAAAAATAACCAGGTATTCTAGACGGAAATTTCCGTCTAGGATACTCATCCTAGACGGAAATTTCCGTCTAGAATAACTGACCATTTAAAAAAATTTAACCCGTCAAAAAAATTAACCGCCCTCCCCCTTCCCCCCAAAATGGAAAATTTTATCCCAAAATCCGCCTCCTATTCTCACCCCACCTCAAATCCCTCCCCAAATCTGACCTCCCTCCGGTGCTCGACTCGATCCTCTCAGATCCCGACGCCAAATCCCTCGACCTCCTCCCCCACCCTGTAAACCAAAGCACGGCCGATCTCGTAATCGATGAGATTCGATCGATCGACTGGTCGAGGGCGATCCTTTTGAAGATCGTGCCGTTGATTAAGGACTTCCATGGGGTTCCCAGCGCTAGGGTTTTGGAATTGGTTGACGAAGTGTTTGATGGGATGGGAAAGGTTGAGATCCAGGATTTGCTGGCGTTGGTGTACCAGTTGCTGGTTTTGGCGTCAAAGAGGGTGAGCAGGAGGGAGATTGTGAAGGGGATTTTAGGGTTTTCGAGGGGTTGAAGGGGCAGGGGAGGATTGTGAGGGAGGTGGAGGGGACGATGCTGATGCATGTGAACTTCGCTGTGAAGCAGGATTTGTCGATGGGGAACGAGGTGATTGGGATTGTGAAGTCGGATTTTGGGGGTGATTAATCATTTTGTGGTTGCTGTGGTTCTTTCCATTGCGAGGGTTAGGAAGTCTAGTAGCTCAGGCTCGAGTCAGGTACTTAAATTAAAGCTTTGGACGTATTTTTAAAGGATTGTTATTATTATTATGAAATTTTATATGGGAAACTATTTTTTGATTTTGTGAAGAAGCTCATGTGAATTTTCGAATCAGGGGCTTGGATTTGTGCCTGTGGCTTGGTTAGTGACATGATTCTCGTCAATTTAAGTGTATGACATTGTCTTCTTTTGTAGAATTGTAAGTTTTGTGTTATTATAATTTTAGGGGCAAATATGTGCATAATGTAGCTAGGGGGTCAATTAGAAATATGTGTGCATATGTTGGTTCTATTTTTATATATTTGGTTTATTTATTGTCCTTTCTCTATATATATGTGTGCATATGTTGGTGTCTTTCAATGAGGAGGACGAAATAATCAGTCTTTTAATTTTGCAAAACTAAAGGCGGTTCAAGTTTAAATCAGTAAATCAATAATAGACTTGGAGTTTGTTCTTGGCAAATTATTGTGCAAAGTTCAAGGAGCTTGGTGAACTTAAGCGTGAACTGAAGGCGGGCATGGTGATACTTTAACTTCTAAATAATAATTGAATTCTCTGTTTTTTTAATCCTCTCTCTCTCTCTCTCTCTCTCTCTCTCTCTTTCTCTCTCTCTCTCTTGAATTCTCTGTATTTTTTAAATTTTTACTTAGATTATTTTGTTATAATGTTTAGGTTCGTGAAAAGAAATGCCTCGTCATTGATCCGAAGCTCGCGGGTTCGTTCTCACTATTGATTCAGACCTAACTCCTCAAGGTGTGTCAATTGTATTGTTTAGTTTTTTTTAGCTTTAGGTCTAATATTAATTACTCAAAGGACTTGATTGTTTGACAATAGAAAAAAGAGAAATCATCATTAGTATCTATGTTTTCCTGTTATTGATTCAGATTGGGATTTTTTATGTTGAAAAGGGTTTGCATAAGAATTAACCGAAATAATTTCCTAGTTAAGGTACCTACAAGGCTACAAGCAATGGCATTGTTATTCACTTTTTATGGAAAATTGGCATGTAGGTAGTTTAATCTATATAGAAAATCTATGTTTACAATTATCCCTTTATTGGAGCACGGTGCTTTGTTTTTATGCATGAAGTTGGTTCCAAGGAGAGGAATCAAAGACCAAATAAGTGTGACATTTGCTTGCAGTTTTACATTCCGTGAAAATAAGCTTTTGCTCTAAATTTAGAGTTACATCAGGAGTTTATTGGTGTTTTGGCTCTGAAAATTATTTGCATTGATCCTCAAGCATATGTGATGTTTTGGCTCTGAAAATTATATGCATTGGTGAGTCACAAAATTTGATGCCTAAAGATTTTTGCGGAACCCATGTTTTTGGGGAAAGCAAGTAAATTGGAAACAAGCCAGAACTCTCCTTTTGGTGTCTGATTTCATGATGACCGGCTATTCAACAGAAGTACAAAACGTTCAGATGAAATTGTAGACTGATTTTTAGGGTACCTTTGGATGACAGGCCAGAGAAACTTGCAACTATTTCCTATTGGAGCTTACCTTGTGTTCTTCGGTTTGTTCCTCGTCATATACACCTATAATTATTTGCTCGAGTTTTTTTTAATTGCAAAACCCTCCTGAGTTAATGTGATTGAAATTATGGTGTTTTTTTAGTTGAGAATTTTGGGATGTGTACTGCATGATACATACGTAGGTTATGAGGCATGCTTACTATCTTAGTATATGCTTTTCAATGAGGAACAAGTTGGATAATTTTGTAGTCATTCTGTCTAACTAATTCATTATGTACTTATGTCTATTGTGTAGAACTGTGATACTTATGTTGCGTGAACTTGTAGGTTCTTAGAAATAAGCCAGATTATCATCGGATATCACAAGCAGGGGATGAGAGGATAGAACAATGTAAAAAGATTGTAAATATATATCCTTTCGTTTCAATTGTAAATAAATATGTTAACAATTTATGTATCGCATCCATTCAATACCGAGCTTTGGCTGATAATTTATGTATCTGTAAAAGTTTGTAAACAATTTATGTATGAATGTATTATTTGAATATAATGGGATTTGATATTGCAATATAGTTAGATTGTGTTGGATATGAATATAATTTTTTTATTGTTCAATATTGTGTACATGCACTAAAAGTAGATTCTGCAAAAAAAAAAAACTGTAGCATAGCATCCTAGACGGAAATTCCGTCTAGGATGCTCAAAATCCGTCTAGGATACTTTGTTTTTTTTTTTAATTAAAAAACATTTTGGGGGGAAATTTCCGTCTAGGATGACTATTCTAGACGGAAATTTTCGTCTAGGATACTCATCCTAGACGGAAATTTTTTCCGTCTAGGATAAATTATTCTAGACGGAATTTCCGTCTAGAATAATCCGTCTAGGATGTATTCTAGACGGTTTGGAATTCTGTCTAGAATATTCCGTCTAGGATGTATTCTAGACGGAATTTCCGTCTAGAATACTACATATTAGACGGAAATAAACTAGACGCGTATTCTAGACGGAATTCCGTCTAGAATATGCATCCTAGACGGAATTCTGAGTATCCTAGACGGAATTTTCCGTCTAGGATGCCTCATTTTTTAACAGTGGAATCCACCAAAGAGATACAGAGTTAAAGAGATAACAAGCAAGCTAAAAGCTTAAACTCAGAATTCAGATATCATCAGAAGTACTGATTACAATTGAGTATGGGTACCTGTACTCTTACTTGTAACAACCCTCCAAGCATAAGAAAAGTAAAATAAAAGCTAATTTAGTCTATCTAACTGCACTAATAACAAACGTCTAGAAAGATTAGATATTAAATGCAATTTTAGAATCTGACGAGGCTGCATGTATCTAGACACAAGAGAGCATTAGTTGTGTTTGGAAACACACAAAATCCATGTTCTCAAATGCATAGAAACTTCCATTCATTAATTAACCTAGGGATATTCATTTTACCATTGACTTGCAATAATTCACCGTTTGCATTTCAAATTATGTAACATCATAATTCTGATTATGCTTTAAGCAAGTATGCTCCAAGGCTTGGACATGGGTTGTAACGTGTGGGCTAGGCCTTTAGCCTTGTCCATGTTAGCTTCTATGTCAAATCCTATGGTTGATCTATAGTGTGTAAGGAGGATGCCTTTCAGAACTATCATAGATCAACATAGCCAATCCAATTGTATTTCTATAGTACTTCTAGGAAAGAGGTCTTTCAAAATCATCATAGATGTTGAACAACTAGCCCATTGGTAGTTCTTTAGTATCTTGGAAGGAGGTCTTTCAGAAATATCACATAGATATGGATATCCAATCTATTGGTAGCTTTACAGTGTCTAGTGAGAAGATCTTTGGAAACTATCAAAGCAATCGAGATTTCAAATTATCTAGTAGTTCAATGGCATCTAGGAAAGAGCTCTAAAGAAATCATCAAAGAAACTTTAATCCTCACAAGGTCTTAAGGAACCTTCATAAAAGTTTTGGTAGCCAATCCATCATAGATCTATGGTGTCTAGATAGCCAATCCATCATAGATCTATGGTGTCTAGGGAGGAGGACTTTTAGAATTATTGTGTCTAAGAAGGAGGTCTTTCAAAATCATCATAGAGCTGGAATGCCAATCCATCAGAAGTTCTATAGTGTCTCCAAAGGATGTCTTTTTGAACCATAGCCGAGATTTGGATAACCAATCTATTTGCAGTTTTACAGTGTTTTGTGAGGACATATTTGTAAACTATCACAGGAGTAGAGATTTCGAATCACCTAGTAGATCAATGGCAAGCTTCACTCCAAAATTCATGAGGCATCCCATGCACAGATGAAACACACAACAAAAGATAATTTGCACAAAAAATTTACTTTTTCATTGATCTTAAAGGTTGCATATAAGTAAGTTTTAGTCTCTCAAACCACAAAGAAAAATAGCACTTGTTCCTCCAAATTTTTGATACTTCAGGAACAGAAAGGAGAAACACAAAGCAAAAAGAGCTCCCACTCCCCCTAATTGTGTAACGATTGAGGAACAAAAGCGAGACTCTCAAGCTAATTTAAACACCAAGTCCGAGGAAGCAAGACGATGTCTAATTACAATTGAGGTCCATATTTGTGAGACCTAATCACTTTCAGAATCTTCACTTGTGGAGCTCCAAGGGTCCTTCTTCAGATGCTATCAAAGCATTCGAATAGTCTTACGCAGAGCATGACACTCAAAGCTCCTATGGCGATTCACTTCGCACCATGCTTTCAACTTGCTCTTGAGAGTCTACTCAAGCCTAGCCTTTTTGGCCTTAAATCCACTAATAGGTGGAGAATACAAATTTCCTCCGCAGAATCGCCCTCCACTTGGGCCAATTCTTATTGAAGTCATTGGATCTCAGCTTCTCTATCAAGAAATAACTCTGATCTGGTGGATGGAAACTTAGACATGGAGAAAATGAACATGGAAGAAAATAGGCATGGAAGGGGCTATTTATAAGCTTTAGAAAACCAACTTCCCAAGATAAAAATCACTTCTTACAAGAAGTGATTGGGCCTAACAAAGAGGCTAAAAAGTAGACTAAATGCTAGGGTATCCATCAAATCTCACTAAGTGTTTGACTACCAAGAGAGATATTAGCCATAAATCAAGGCGCAAATCTAAACAGCAACAATCTTGCCTACTCACACCAATCAGCAAACCTCACTCAAACAGCCAAAATTAAGTGAATCCTGCCAAAATTAAGGGTCAGACAAATTTCACTATTCCATGAACTTTACGCCAATTTAAGGGCAAACAAACTTTATCCCAAACACAGAATTGGACGAACTATCAATAGAAGAGCATCCAGATACAACTAAGTACTTAACCAAGGTCAGTCTATGAGCAAAGAAGCCACATTTAATAGTACACATCTAGCAACCAAGTAGTCAAATGGAGATATATCTAGCTTGAGTAAGATAACCGAGCTATGTTCAATAGTACACCTCTAACTATTATCCAAAGTATATTGTTTCCTATCACAAGTCAAGCATAAGATCATGAAAACTTTGGAGGGGGTCTTGTAGAAGGTAAAAATATACAAGCTCAAACCTGAATTGATACTAAGTACGAATAATACAAAATCTGATACTTGAACCGAATACAAGCTTAAAAAGTGGACGCCTATCGGCTAAAACACTTAATCAGATTGGATGGCCCAAACATGATCCATAACGGAGCTCGTCTAAGCCTCAGCAAATCTCACCCAAGTTACATTGAAGCTTGCTACCAAAACCAAGTCAAAGTGAAGCTTCAAACAAAGTTCGTCCAAAATGAACTTCACCCCGTCCATGCGGACCACATCATCCACACCCAAAGAGAAGTGGATTACCCACAATCTGGTGAAGTTTGCGAGAGTGAACTTCACCTATATCTGCTCAACGAACTTCGCCCTGACTATTATTAGCGAACCACGCCTATGACCGGTTTCAAGAGTTATTGTTTTGGAAATGATTTGCCACCCATTATCTCCTAAGTTAATAGCCATTAAATCCTATTTAAGGGTCTCTCTCTCTCTCTTCCATACCTGCTCAACGAGCTTCGCCCCTGACTATTATTAGCGAACCTCGCCTATGACCGGTTTCAAGAGTTATTAAATCTCATTTAATGGGGCCTCTCTCTCTCTCTCTCTCTCTCTCTCTCTCTCTCTCTCTCTCTCTCTCTCTCTCTCTCTCTCTCTCTCTCTCTCTCTCTCAGCCTGTAGGAGGAGGGAAGATTGCTCATTTTTGGGCACTTGGAAACTTTGGCTCCATTTGGCCTATTGTGAACTTAGTCATCTTAGAGACTTCAACATCCAGCAACCTTCAATCAGCAGAAGATTCGCTATCTTAGTTGGATAGTCAACGAAGTATATGATCGATGTTCCATCGGCACATAAAAAAGAACCCAATGTTAAAAAAAATTCTTGTTTCTTTAGTTTTCTTGAAGTTGTAATTTGAGTTTAGTTACAATTTTAGGACCCAAAACAGTCAATACATATTAGTATATTTTTGGTGTTTCACTTATTATTGATACATATTAGGATGTTCCTTAATGCTTTGCATCATTATCGATACGTATTAGTTCACTCATTGTCGGTACATATTAGCATGTTCCTCGATGCTTTGCACCATTGTCAATATGTGTTAGTACATTCTTCAAAGCTTCATCCGCTGTTGATACATATTAGTATGTTCCTCAACATTCCACGCCATCGTCAATATTATTAGTACATTTCCTTAGCAACCCCTCCATTATCAGTACAGTATGTCCTTTGACATTCCACTAGTTGATATGAATTGAACGTTTCTTGACATGTTTCTATTGGTCAGTACGTATTGTCACATCCCCCGACTAAATCCCCATTGATTCATAAATACAAAACTCATGAACAAAATGATATTGGTACATATTAGCACGTTCCCTGATCATATGTGTCAACAAAATTTGGGTCATCCACCTCAAGAAATCCAAATTATTTTGGATATCACGATGTGAGATTCCAAAACTTTGAATAGGGTCTTGTAGGCAATTAAAATATGCAAACCGACTTATGAATCAACAAAGAAGGGACTCACAAGAAATAAACTTGATGCATTCCAAGACTGGCTAGGTTTAAGAGATGAGGACATAGGGGGTAGAAGTTAACTTGCATACATATCGGGCAAGGCTAGCTTGCATAAACAATGGGGCGAGGCTTGCTTGCTTGCATGCATGGGCCCATGCTAGGAGGGAGGGAGGGAGGGAGAGAGAGAGAGAGAGAGAGAGAGAGAGAGAGAGAGAGAGAGAGAGAGAGAGAGCNTCAAATGCCCCAAACCTCGCCTAGCATTGAGGCGAGGTTGAGTGAGCTTAACTACTCCAAGCTCGCACCAAAGTCAAATCATGATCACCCAATGACGATGCACTTGTTTGAAATAAAGTCAAACTCATGATCACCCTAACAGGATAAAATAACGACACACGCGTATGTATTACTTAGATATGAAATCCTAAACATTTTCTAGAAACTTATATGAATTTCATTCTCACATGCTTATAAAAACAATCACAAAATAACAAATCAGATTGACTTTAATTTCTA